CTGCTTCTCCCTCTGACCCTCCCCCCTCTCATGTGCTCGCTCGCTCTCATTCTCCCTGTCTCAAATAAATAAATAAAATCTTAAAAAAAAAAAAGAAAAGACAACAGATGCACCGGGTCGGGGCTGGACAATAAGTTTATACACACCCACTTCAGGTCCAACTCATTTACAAGCATTTCATCACAGCGCCTGCTTGGGGGCCCACAGGCGCGACCAGCCTGTCCCTGGACAGGTCCTCACATCGCAATAATGCTTTATTAAAGGGCAGATTAATATGCAGCTTTTGGGGGGAACATTTTTACAAATATCAAAAGGAACAAATCAAGCATCCTCTATAAAACTTTCCAGACCTCCGGGGAGGCCTGCGAAGCAGGACAAAGTGCTCTTTACACAGGACTCGCAGGACTTTCAAGTATCCAAGAGGCGTTTGTGAATGCCCTAACCATTCTACCTACACACACTGGGCCGGCGGGGCACTCAGCAGGGGCCGAGCGAGCGGGCGGGCACGGGGCTCTCACTGGTGTCCATTCCCACGGACCCCCCGGCTCCAGAAGTGGTTCCGCACGGGGCCGGGGCCTCTGCAAGGCAAGAAAGGGAGGCGGCTTTAGCTGGCTGCACCGCCAGACTGGGTAGGGGCCCGAGTCACTGCCCCCCATGCCTCCCTGCCCCCCTTCAGACAGCTGCACTCACTCACAGCCCTCAGAGCCTGTCCCCTCCTCAGCTCACTCGGTAAGAGCCAAACGTTGGCCTTCCCCACTGCCCACTCGGCTCCACGCCCCTCCTTCAGGTCTCCCCGACTGAGCCCCTTCCACAGGAGAGCCAAGACTACACCCTAAGACTCCACCACTCCCCTCCTGGGACTCAGCCCAGGGGTTGGCGCTGCAGGTGCAGCACTGCCGATTCTCTGGGAAGCTTCTGGAACAGCACCCCAACGTGGTCAGCATCCCAACTGCTGGCCCATTACTGTACCTACTTCTGCCATGGCTACTGAGTCCAGTCCTGCTGTGCACACGGCAGCTTTCAGATAAGTCAGATCCTGCAGACCCTGGACCAGAACACACCATCCACACCCACCCAGCCCGCCCAGCGCCTCTTGGGGTCTCTTAACTCAGCCCCACTCTTTACAGACGAGAGGCGCGTGGGAGCGAGTGCGCGTGCGCTCTTCCTTTCCTGCCAGGTTCTCACCCCCAACATCCGAGATGTCCAGGATCACACAGTCGCCGTCCTCCTCTTCCTCCTCCTCTGTGTCTGCCTGGAAGCCATCCAGGTCCCCGGCTCCAACCTGGGCAGACAAGGGTGCACGGGCCATTAGCAGCAGCAGATGGGCCGCTGTGCCCCCCGAACCTCCACCCGATCTGGCCACAAGTGAGAGCCTGTGAGCAAAGGAGCCTTGTGGGGGGAGAGAAGGTTCTCTCAAAGGACCTCATTCAGATCTCCCAAAATGACCACCGGCATGATTTACATTACAAAAATAATTTGCCGTTTCTGAATCCGCAATCTGGGTTTCTGGTTTGGTCTGAAAGAGACAGGGATAAAGACCCACTTTCTCAGCCAGCCAGCGTCTCCTCCTCTGCCCAGGGGCTGTCCCTCTGCCCGGCCCCTGACAACTCTCTCTCGTCACTCATGCTCGGACCACTGTCGCCAGTGACGACACCGTCCGAGCCGCTGTGGGCACAACCTCCACCGACTTGCCGGAGCCGCTCATTGGCTTTCATCGGAGGGGACAGAAGGACGGTGTGGAAAAGAAGGCCACTTTTAAACACCAACCATCCATACAAGCGCCCTGCTCTCTGGAGATGAGCAAAGGACCAGCAGAGGCGGAGACGGGCTTGTTTCAAAAGGGGGACTGTTTCTCAAGACACTCCCGGAATTCCTCTGCTACAGGCATCCGCATTTGCCTGGAGAAGGGGTGGCGGCACAGGACCGTGGGGTGAGCAGCCTGCCGGCCCGGCCAGACAGCCCCACAGACACGACAGTGGCCCCCAGAGCAAGCAGCGCTGCCGCCTCCAACCACCTGTCTCCAAAGAATTCACTGGCTAAGGAGAGCACAGCCCGGCTCTCAACCGTGCTGATCGGGAGGCGCTCGGCTGGGTCTGTCCAGCAAAAGGAATGAAGCGGCCGCATACAGCCCTTCCCGCTCATGGGCCCTGCAGACAGCACGCGCAAGCGCCGATGAACAAGGCTCCCCACGCGTCCGCCAGTTTGCAGGGGGGTCCCCATCCGCAGCCCTCCAGGCCCAGGACAGGTGCTCAGGCTGCCACTGCTGCCGGCAGGGGGCCTAGGGCCCGCCACACCCCCCACGCTTGGAAAGGCATTTAGCCACAACGAGGAATTGACTCTGGGGAGCACCTGTTCGGGATCATTTTGATCAGATGATTTTTTTTTAAAGATTTTATTTACTTATTCATGAGAGAGAGAGAGAGAGGCAGAGGGAGAAGCAGACTTCCCGCAGAGCGGGGAGCCCGATGCGGGACTCGATCCCAGGACTCCGGGACCATGACCTGAGCCGAAGGCAGACGCTTAACCATCTGAGCCACCCAGGCGCCCCTGATCAGATGATTTTTGACTGGAAAGGGAAAATAGGGTCTCTCCCCATTTCAGAAAAAAACTGCGGCCCAAAGCTTGAGTCACCCTGGGGGCCACCCAAGACCACAGACCTGGTGCCTCACCTCAGCCCAGTTCACCTGACTGATCATGACCCCTTGTGAACACATGGCGTAGTAGGACGACTGCCAACTCAAAAACATCTTTAAATTCCCACAAGACTAAAAAAAAAATTAACCAGAATTTAAGTAAAAATTTGAAAAAAAATTAAATTCCCACAAATTAAAAAAGCTCAACCCAATCTAAAACATCTGCACATGTTCAGAGTTTGGCAACGACTATCCCCAAGGGTAGAGGAGTGTCTGTTAGCGGCTTTACCAAAACGCAAGTGGAAACACTCCTTCTAGAAGTTGACCTGTGTCTTGCATGTTTATGTGGGTGCTGTGCAGCGGGGGGCGCCCTGGCTAACGCACGCCCCAAGCCGTTCCCCCGCCCCGCCCCAGCAGAACCAGAGTGCTGTTGAGCGCTGCTGGCCAGTCTCATTTACCCAGCCTCCCCTGTGGCGGGGGTGGCTGTGCCACCGAATTCGGGCCGGGAGGACTCCGGTGAAGTCCGCTGGGGAGGGTTTCCCTTTCCAGCTAAACGGAAAGTCTCTGCTGCCTTGGTCCTGCTGGCTGGAGGTGAGACAGCCATCCCGTGACCATGAAGACAAAGGCCACATGCTAAGGAAGGAGAGAGTGGGACACGGGGGAGCCTGTCGTTACCGGAGCTCAGGACAAACCCCCATGTGCTGAAGCTGTGACGCTGGGGCCCCGTGACCGGCGGCCCGACACTAGGACCGCCGAGTTCTGTGTCCCACTCTGCAGAGCAGGGGTGAGGCTAACTGCCCATGGAACCGCTCCCAGAATACCCCCAGAAGCCAGGCGCTCAGGGCTTCCCTCCCCATGAGGCACACACTGTGCGGACCCACCCTGCGGTCCTGGGCCGAGCGAAGGAGCACACACGCGTACAAGCAAGCAGGCGGAGGGATAGAGGAAGAGGGAGAGGAGAATCTCCAGCAGACTCCCCGCCGAGCGCAGAGCCTGACACAGGCTCAGCATCACGACCCTGAGATCCCGACCTGAGCAGAAATCATGAGTCAGACGCTTCACTGACTGAGCCACCCAGGCACTCCTCTAAGGAACTTTCACAGTGCAGATTTCAGGGGCGCCGGGCTGGCTCAGGGGGTGAAGTGCCCGACTCCCAGTTTCCACTCAGGTCATGCGCTCAGGGTCAGGAGATCAAGGTCTCATCTGTCTGCAACAGCAACAGGGAGAAGGCCAGGCATCATTCCAGGAGCCATTTCTCCCGCCTTCCTGTTCTGACAGCCACTTTACTTTCTAAGCTGAAAGGAAGAGAAGCTGTGGGCAGGAGCTGGGAATGCGGGGTATCACCACCCAGGTTGTGGCACGCAGCTCCCCAAGTCACATGGCCCCCCCCTCGGAGGGCACCGGACGTGAGCTGGAGACACGGCTCGAAAGACATCTTCATCACATCCTCCTCGTAAAATCCATAACCCTGTAAGATGCCTGCCTGAGACGAGGACCCAGTGCTCACTCTGCAAAATAGGTTTCCGGTAAGAGTAGATGCATGAAAGGAAAGAAACTCACCACATCCCTATTCCAGTAAGGAAAAAAAATACACATCCAACATCAGCGAAGGCTGTGCCCGGGTCCCTGCCCCTGAGCACGCAGGCAGGCACAGGAGATGGGGCGCCCCCGTGCCCCCAGGCCCCCACGCTCTGCTCCTCCAAGCACTGCCTGTCTGTGATCAAGCAGCTGTTCGTGCGACAAATTCGTCTGTGCGCCTATTAGATGGTTCTGCTCGTCACTGTGTGGACAAGGCTGAGCAGAGCCCCTGATGCAGTCAATACTTTGTAACTACAGTAAGTGAATGTAAAAGCAAAAATAGATAAGAAAAAACTAAAAAGTCACTGCACAGGACACTGCTGGGGGCTAAAAAGCAATGAGCCATCGGGGCGCCCGGTGGCTCAGTCAGTTAAGCGTCTGCCTTCAGTTCAGGTCATGATCCCAGGGTCCTGGCATGGGGCCCCACGTCGGGCTCCCTGCTCAGCGGGGAGCCTGCTTCTCCCTCTGCCTCTGCCTCTGCCCATGCTCTCTCTCTCTCTTTCAGACAAAAAACCAAAATCTTAAATTAAAAAAAAAAAAGGAAAAGAAATGAGCCATCGGGCCAGGCAACGGCACGGAGGAACCTTAGAGGCACATCCCTAAGTGAGAGAAGCCGGTCTGAGAAGGCCTCACACTGTGTGCTTCCAAGTCTGGGAAAGACAGGGCCTTGGAGACGATAAAGAGCTGGGTGGTTCCCAGGAGTCGGAAGGGAGGCGGGAGGAGGAGGAGGAGCACAGGGCACCTTTCGGTCGGTGAAGCTACTCTGCAGACCACAGCAGTGGATACGTGTCATCACACATTCGTCCGAATCCACAGCAGGTGTAGCACCAAGGGTGACCCCTACCGTCCCCTGGGGACTCGGGGTGAGAATGACAGGCCCCCGTGGGTTCGTGGATTGGGACAAACGCACAGCCCTGGGGCCATGCTGATGGAGGGGAGGCGGTGCCTGCGGGGACCGGGCGAACGTGCGAAATCGCTGTACTTTCTGCCAGTTTTGCTGTGACTCTAATAAACCTGCTCTGAAACGCAAACCTCACTGAGAGTGAGAAAGCCCGCCCCGCCCCGCCCCTCACCTGCCCGTCGTGCCTGCGCTTCTTCATGAACTGGGTGATGCACATGCTGCCGGCTGACTTCCGCTTCAGCGAGACGGGCGTCCCCTGGCCGGGCCCCGTGGCGGGGACGCTGCCACTGTCCTCCCTGGTGGCCGCGGGCACCATGGTGACGTAACTCCACTGGCACGGCACGGGCAGGTGCTCCTGGTCAAAGGTCTTCAGCACCTGCGGGTGGACGTACCAGCACATCCTGAAATCAGGCCTCTTCTCGTACACCGAGTTCTCGGAAATTATCCGCTTGAGCCTGGCCTTGGAGGGCACGGCGGCGTCCTCGCTGGTGGTGGGGGTCTGCGGGCGGGAGGAGCCGGGGCTGGGCGGGCTGGCAGAGCTGCTGTCAGGACTGCCCGTGTCCTTGCTGAGCAGCCCCCGGCGGCAGCACTCCTGGAACTCCCGGATGATCGCTTTGCTTCCGTTCACATTCCCGTGCAGCAGTGGGAGCAACTGCCCCAAGACTGGCGGGGGCGGGGCGGGGAGACACGGGGAGAGAGAACACACATTGCACAGGGCTCCCCGGTCTGTTACCAAGGTCAGAGACGCGGTCAGCTTCGGGGTGGCCTTTCAAGGGTAGGTTTCAGACACACTCGTGAGCTGCAGGAGGCTGGGAAGCCCGTCTCCCGAGGCAGGATTTCTCTGGATAACCTAGCACGCCTCCCTCTCCTTAGTCATGGTCACCACGCTCTCCTGAGACACTGGGCCTCCCCTGGCTCTGAAGAGCGAGGAGGCAGAGTCCTCAGGGACGTGTGCGACCTTGAGCCAGGCACGCTGGGGAAGCGGGCTAATTAAAGGACCGCCCCGGGCTGCTGTCGTCTTAAGGAAGGAAGAGATGTGCTCAGCAAGCGCTGGCTTTTGTGATTTGTTGGAAGGACTTCTACATCTTAGTCCAGCCACCTAATAAAGTCTCCCTGGGCCCAGGACAGCTGGGATCCCCTCCCGTTCCCGCCAGGCACCGGCACTCACTCTGCTGGTCTCTCTTCTCTCGTCTGGAGGCCTTGGGCGTCTGCTCCTCCTCGGAGGGGACTGTCTCCAGAAGGCACGCCGTGAACTGCTGCAGCACCTTCAGGTCGGCACCACCATCCTTATCGGCTGCCCAGATGCAGCCAATCTTCACGGGCTGGAGCACGCGGAACCTCTTCCCCTTCGCCAAAAACTCGTCCCACTCTTTGGCCTTCAGTTTCTGGCGAACCTTGTGGTTCTCTGGGTCGGCACACTCCTTGCAGGGCGGAGAGCAATGCTCACTCAGGGTTCCCAGGCCCCTGAGCCTTCTCATGCCGCCCCCAGGGCCGCTGCGTCCGCCTCTCCTGGCCCCCACGGCGTCCTGCACCCCTCTTCCTAACATCACCGGCTGGGAGATAGCAGAGTGCTTCCCTAGACTTAATGGTGACTGACACCTGCACCCTTTGCTGTTTTGGGATGCACCCATCCTCTCTGGCCGTGACTGGCAGAGTCTCAGGTATTCTCCGAGCCTCACCGGTAAGCCGCTCAAGGCCACTCTAGATTTTCTGGGGAGGATGTGATGCCAGGGCCGTCCAATTCCCAAACCCAAATCCCACGCCCAGTTCACCCTCCGGGCCAGGCTCCTCCCACGCCAGGCCCAACACCGCTCTCAGGGACGGGGAGGCTCATGGGCTCCAGAGACACGGCTGCCTCGCTGGTTGGAAATACCTGAGGAACACCTGCCCCTCTAGTCTGATCTGGAGAGACAAAACCACTCCCCCAGGGCAACGTCCTACTTCTCCATCTCTCCACTGCCCCAACACTACAACCTGACGGGCTGTCGGAGCCCTAAAAGCAGCCATCTGGCAGAGTCTAGCAAGTTGGTGGCAGGGGTTGGGGGTTAACTTGAAGGGGCACGGGGGAACCATATGGAGAGACAGAAAGTTCTAGATTTTATTTTGGGTGATGGATTTACAAATGTCAATCATTAAAGCTCACTGCACTCAATAATTAAGATCTGCATGTTTTCTTCTAAGTTCATTATATCTCAGCTAAGAAAATGTAAAAAGAACGAAAGTGCTTTAGCACAAACCCCCCAGCCTCTCCGACTCAGGTTTCTCCTCATGCCACCTCCCCACCTGGGATTCTCTCCTACCTCTGCAGATCCCACTACCCTCCCCAAGCAAAACCCGAGCTCAGGTCCCTGCGACCCCACAAATAACTACATGTTGGGGTCACAAAATGCATGTGGAACCAGGTGGATGAGCTAGGGCTGTCACACAGTCTTAACGGCCCCCAGGCTAGCAGCCAAGCTTGGCCCAGCGAGCTCTCTCTGGGACAGTCACCACCCTGCTCCCTCACCTCGGTTACTCCCTCGTCCTCAGACAGGTACCCATGGGGCACGAAAAAACCATCATCCTCATCTTCATCTTCTCCCACTTCGTCATCATCATCCTCAAAAACAAAAAAAAGATGTTCATAATATGTGGCAACTGAATATATACCTCATTTAAAATGTTAACCTGCAAACATCTAAGGAAGGAAAAACCATCTACTGCCTTGAGCATCATCCTTATGGACACAGGGTCCATAAGAATTCATGAACGAATCCCATTATTTGACGGGGGAGGGGGCGCAGGCAAAACACAAGCGAGTGAAGTCACCCAGATTTAAGACAGAAGAGGGGGTGGGGACCAGGGCAGACCAGGGGTAAGCGTGCCCCACCTAACGGGGTGGACACTGCTCAGTCCCGCTGCCAAGTGGGCTAGCGTCACCAAGTAAGGTTTTCCAAGAGAAGTTGGAAATCTGGTGGTTGTTTTTTTAACTATTCTTTTAAAAATAAGGATTTATTTATTTATTTGAGAGAGAGAGAGCATGGAGGGAGGGAGGAGGGCAGAGGGAGAGAGAATCTCAAGCAGACTCCCTGCTCAGCACAGAGCTTGACATGGGGCTCCATCTCACGAGCTTGAGATCACTACCCGAGCCGAAACCAAGAGTTGGACACTCAACCGACTAGGCCTCCCAGGTGCCCCTGGAAATCTGGGTGTTAAACGCCGGCTGAAATTTTCAGACAACACTGCCGTCAAACACAGGCTGGCTGTGAGTGAACTCAGCCTTCTGGGCGAGACCCGAACGAGGTGCAGGTGCGTGCTCACCCCCTCACTATGGGAGAGGGACTCTCCCGGCTCCTCCTCTTCCCACTCCTCGTCACTGTCCACCTCATAGTCCAGGAGCTTCTGAGGAAACAAAGACGCAGTGCGTCATGGTTGTCTTTCAGGGCTGGCAAAGCAGAAACGCTAGAATCCAGGAGACCAGCATAAAAAAGGCAAAGCGAGGAGATGCAGACAGACAGACGTGCCTGGACCAGCAGCACCTCTGCCACGTGCTCACCCTGTCTTGGGCCCAGGGGTCCCTTGGATGGATGACAGTTGTCTTCTTATTCCATGTCCCCCAGTATGCCGGCCGGTGATTCTCAGAAAACTGTAGGAGTTTCATTCTGCCAAACTTCTTCCTCTTAGGAACGCCATCCACCTTGCCGCTCTCCACGATCAGCACATCGCTGAGGAAGAAACCCAGGAATGCGCCTCCTCCGCAACATGCCCGCTCGACACCCAGGCTTCTCAAGGAAGCAGGCCACCAACATTTTACAAAGATGGGTAACCACCTGCTCCCAAGAAAGCTAAGGGACGTTCATTCCAGGGACACAGAGCAAGGAGGAGGGAGAAACAAGATTGCCAAGCTGCTGCCCCACAGCACTTATAGAACAAGGAGATCAACAAGAACAGCAAAATGTCCTCCCAGGGAGGCCGGCATGAAAATAGGATCCCTCCCCCAAAAGACCGGGAAGCCAGGCCAGGCAGTCTGCCCTCCTGCAGCAGCGGCTTTCAACAAGGCCGCTGCACACGAGACTTCAGCAATGAAATTTAGGCTTTTGGCCCAGGAGGGAGACAGCTGGCCCAAGGCCACGATGAGCCAGCAGCGGACCAGAACCCAGAGCTCTGCCCTGGGCCCCCCAGGACTTTCCAACTGTGCTCTGACGTCACCAACAGGCAAAAGACGGTCTCCCTGGCCACTAACCTGTTATAAATATTTGTGTTTCGGTTTGAAACCATGGTGGGTCCAGACCTGAGGGGCTGCCGGCCTTTCAGATCTTTCAGGAAGGAGAGCTCGCCATTCTGTTGCTGGAGGAGCTGGTCCAACTGATCACAGAGGTCTTGGTCGAAGGCAGTCCGAAACCGAGGGGCGAGAACCATGTGCTCTTTAATTTCAAAAGGGGCGAACTTCCCGCAAGAGCCGGCCAGGGTCTGAAATGGAGAAGAGGATGTGATGTACGTCTGTGAGGCGGGACGCCTGCCGCTCAGCAGCCTCCAGGGTGAGCCCCTGGACATGCGGCACGAGCATGTTCCTTTTCGCATTCATCCAGGTTGGTAAGTCCAGGAGACACACAAAAAGCTACACGCTGGGTGATGTCATTTACATGAGTTTCTGTAAAAGGCAAAACTACAGGGCCAGGAGTCAGGTCAGCAGTTGCCAGGGGCTGGGGGGCCCGAAAGGGGAGGAGGGTGCTGAGTACAGGGAGCAAACTGGGGTGACAGCAATACTCTTGAGTATGGGGGTGCTGGGGAGCCCGACACATTGTCAGAACTCACCAAACGAGCGAATTTTACTGTGAATTATACCTCAATAAACACGGCTCTTTAAAAAGAAGGGGGTGGGGCGCAATAGGACCTGAGATCCCAGGTGAGGAAACCAAGCCCCCGGGGAGTGACCGCTCACCCAGAGCCGCACCGTGACAAGATGGCTCACGACCCAGAGCCCATCTCAACACCGAAGGCGGACATGAACCTGACACATTGGTGTCTGTTCCCTAAGAATCATTCCCCACAAATTCTGGTGGATTTACTCTCCCCCCTCAGAGTTCCTTCAGCATCTGCCATGTCTGTCAGTGGATCCCAAAGCTGGCAGCACATGAGGACTTGGGGAGTCAGGAGGAGAGTCTAGTCTACGAAGCTCAGTATAAGCCAGCCTCCGACCTCACTGAGTGGGTACTGGCCGCAGAGCGGGCCACCTGGGAGCTGCTGAAGACCCCGAGGCCCACACCAGGCCCGGGGGACGCTCTGGGACAGGAGCCAGGCTCCATGATTTTGTAAAGCTCCCTGGTGCTTCCCAATACACAGCCAAAGCCAAGAACCAGCCGCCTGCCCACCTCACTAACGAACGGGTGCTGGCATATCGGGCACCCTTACGGGACAGAGTTAGGACCAAGCCCCCATGACCAAGGACTCCAGCCAAGCTAAGGAGCTACACATAAACAATGAACAAACAGGCGCCTGGTTGGCTCAGTCGGTGGAGCCTGAGACTCTTGATCTTGGGGCTCTAAGTCTGAACCTCACACTGGGTGTAAAGATTACTTAAAAAAAAAATCTTTAAAAACAAACAAAACACAAACAGCAAAAACAAAACAAAAAAACTAGGAAAGAGAATATATCTGTCTATGGCCACAGGGTACACAAGGCTTTGCAACCATAAGCTAACTGGCATAAAAAATTTAAAATGTCGACATTAAAACACAAAATTTCTGTAGGATAAAAGACACTACAAACAGGCTAAAAGGCTTGGGCTCCCTGCTCAGTGGGGAGCTTTCTTCTCCCTCTCCCTTTGCCACTTCCCCTGCTTGTGCTCTCTCGCTCTAATAAATAAATAAAATCCTTAAAAAAAATAAAAAAATAAACAGGTTAGAAAGCAAATAACAGACTGAGGGAATATTTGTTGCGTATGTCACCAAGAACAAAAATCCTGGCTGTGGGTGGCTCAGTCAGTTAAGCATCTGCCTTTGGCTCAGGTCATGATCCCAGGGTCCTGGGATTGAGTCCCGCATCGGGCTCACTGCTCAGCGGGGAGTCTGCTTCTCCCTCTGACCCTCCTCCTTCTCATGCTCTGTCTCTCATTCTCTCTCTCTCAAATAAATAAAATTGTAAAAAAAA